CCTTTAACATCTGATTCTTAAGCTCTTTCTCTCCATCTTTTTTTTCCCTTAGACTGTCTTTCCATCTCTTCTTCTCTCCCTCACTGGCTTTCTCTGGGTTTTTCTCACTTTCTTGTCAAATGTCAGTTTTAGCATTCACTCTCTCTTCTCCGTCCTTTTTCTCCCTTTCTGCACTTCACATTTACGGTTTCGCATTCAATCACTTCTTTTTTTCCCCTGTTCTGACATTTCTGTCTTGTTCGTGCACCAGATGTCAGGTTTATGTTGCCGCTTCTTCCCTACAGGTGCTTAGAGGGCATGAACATATATAGATGCTGTTTTATGTCCTCCCCTCTCTGCCTGTCTGTCCAATGTGTTTTTCTCTTCCAAGAGTCTGCAGTGTGTTAAAGAGGGTCGTTGTGTGTCGTTTTGTGAAAACCTTCAAGAGGCCTATTTCACCCAGATTGCTGTCAAGGTTTGTTTCTCAGAGTGTAAATCTCTTGGTTGTAATGGTATCATTTTTAAGCCATGAACATTCGCTCAACATTTTTACTTTTTCTCTGTTCTGTCTTGCAAAATAAACTTAACTTCAGCAAGTGTACATTTTAAAATGAAACCTAAATACCCTTTTGCACTTGTTCATGCACCTAAATATAAATAACAGCTGCTGCCAATTGAACTTTACAAGATTACCTTCCTTCTGAGCCAATCTGTGGCAAATGAGACTCACAGGGGAAAAACTCCTCATTTGGTTAGGTGTAATGTAGCCTTGTTGTGGTATGTTGGTTCCCAGACTCAGGCGGTGTAGTTCGATCTGAAAGTTTAGCCTAAATTGTGAGCAATGTGGATTTTAAGTAACTGAAGTAACAACATTACAACGTAAACAAGTATTTCAGGTTTAAATGAAAATACTATAACGACTTTTGACTTTCAAGCAGCAAATCTATTGTATGGTTTCTGGTCTTATTGGCTAATAATCAGAAGCAATGCCCCTGTTACTACAGATAACATCACTGCACTCACTTTATTTTGTTTATTTGAAAGTACCAACTAAAAATAATTAAAAGTAGGAGTCCTGTTTGGGACGTTCAGTAGTTTCAGTAGGTGTGAGGATTTTTAAATGTATGATCTTTTAATCCTGGGTGAACCTCAAATAAAGTTTGCTCTTTAATATCTGAAAAACATTTGGCGACTTAAGAGCCATTTCCCTCAGGAGTTAGTTGAGAGGCCAAAACTAGCCTTTAGTTTGCTAGCATGTTCACGATGACTTTATAAATGATAATGTGTCTGTGTTATGTATGGCCAACAAATCCAATACTGCATGTTTAATATGTCAAGAGCAAAGTCGAAAAAGATTTATAGAATTTCCGCTACGGTAAAGCTTCATTCACTCTCTCAACACTCTCACCCACATGGATCATCTGCCAACACAGGAACACAACAACTAGCCTATACACAGTATATAAAATATCCATCCTGTGAGTGTCAAGAAGCGGATTGTGAGAAGCAACCTGTACCAAATGTTGCCCATGTGTTATTGATGGGTATGGGGCAGAATAATGAATTCAATATAAATAATATAAACCAACCACACTTTCTTACTGAACTGTCAGACGGAGACAAGCAGCGATTCCTCCAGTCAGCGCAGAGATGTCCTTTTTTCCCCGGCACACCTGCTCAATACGGGCCTGACACGCTCTCTTCACACTTTGTGATCACAAGTTCCTCACCGTCAGCAATGACTGTGATCATGTGGGGTTGTGTACGTACGCATCTGTGAGCATGTTTTAATGATTTAGATACCATGTTGCCATGAGCAAGAGAGCTGTGGCACTGGTAGTGTGCTGAGATCTGCGGTTATAATTGTGTTTTTAAGTGGAACTTGGGTCAGCGGTCCGATATAGGAAACATGTGGAGGTTTCAAACTGTTGCCGTGGTTTACACACTCTCTAACGCTGTGTGTGACTCTGCTGCGCATATTGACACCACTGTCTCTCTCCTTACATGCTGCAGGGCACATACATCTGGATATATGTGGAGCGTGAGGACAGGACCGCATGGGGAGAGGAAGTCGACGGTGGAACGGGAGAAGGATGAAGACTCGAGGGGAGCAATCAAAAGGGCAAAACCGTAATGTGACCCAACATCCTACACACATGAAAGCATACACGTGCAAAAATGCTTGGACGTACAAAAAACACACACATTCTGATGTATAGGGATGCTAAGAGGCATTAGAGATATGTTTTTCTTCAGAGCAACCTCATTCACCTCTCCTGGAGGAAGAGTGAACGTCACACAAAACCATAAATCCACACACACTCTCACAAACACACACACACACACACACACACATACAATATATATATATACTGGCTGCTTCATCTGTCTTTCACCGCTTCCCTCTGAGGGGCCATAAATCAATCACTGCCAGAATACTGCACTTCAACAGTGCAACCGAGAGTCAAACACACACAGGCACATACACATTTATTCCCTTTTTGGTTTGGTCATTTGAATGTCAAATGTGGACCTTCGCTGCATCAAATGCTAATGGTTCAAGCGGCGCCAAAGAAATTGATTTATTCCTACAACAACTGTATCTTTAAACAGCATAAATTACTTCCTCAGAGTGTTGAGTGTTTTGGTTGCTTACCATGAATGCATTATACTTTTTCAACCTAACTAAAGTCAGCTAAATGGAAAGCACAAAAAAGCAGTGCCTACACCAAACGTATGTATATTAACATTTACACAAAGCTGAATATCAACGTTCAAAAAATGAGCCAGTGGAAATAGAAGATGAGCATCTGTCTGCTTACAATTCTTAAACTGCACATTGACCATGAACTACATTTGAAAAACAGAATTTCCATCATTATGCATGAATACAACGAAGAGCCGATGGGGGTGTTGTTCAGTGGTTATTTCACAAACAATGAGAAAATATCAGCCGTGTAGAAATTAGCAAAAAGAAGACAAATCAGTTCTAGTACATCAGTATGATAAATATGAAACAATAGATTAGTTTCACTTGCTGCCATTTCTAGAAGTCACACATTTCTTTGAAAATGCTTTTAGAAAAACTTGAGCAGCAAAACATACAGGATGAAAGTGTGTGTGGAGGGAAAGGGGGCGGGGCACAGTAGTTTAACATCAACATGACAAAGACCACAGGCGCTCAGTTTAGTTGACATGCGTGTTATCACCAGCAGCACTCAGACCCAGTGAACCTCCTTCAGACAGCAGATGTTTCCACCTGAACAGAATGGATTCATGGACACACGATGGGCCGCATAATAAATGAGACGGGAGTCCTTCAAAGCTGCTTTTTCTTCTCACATGTAGCTGTCCCATCTTGACCTTAGTTCCAGATTATCCCTTTGAGGGCTGAAATAACCACTGCAAGGAAGATGTCTACTATATCCATGTAATGTGTACACACAGTAACTGTGGCGCAGGGGGAAAATAAGTCTATCAATCAGAGGGTCAGCGGTTCAATCACACCCCCATGTCAAAGTATATTAATGTTTCTCTAAATTGCTTTCGATAAAAGTGTCTGCTAAATTACATGTAATGTAATGTATGACCAGGAGCCTCATTTAACTGGCGGATAATCCACAATAAATGTGGAAATGTACGTACACATGGCAATAAATATTCAAATTTATAAAAAAAAGCTGCATACACATTCCAGTGCTACATTTCCTTTATAAATCCCAATTAATGTTAGTGGATGTGCAGGGCAGCCTGTCCTCCTACACAAAACTACCATATATGCCGATTGTATGGAGCTATTTCAGGGTCATAAGTTTTGATCATTCAAAAAAATACAATTTATTTGAAAGTTCAAGCTTTTATCCTGAACTTTGAAAAATACAATGATGTATTCAAAATAAAAATAAGTATTTGAAATATTTTTTCAGGTTGAATATTATTTTTGATTCAGTTCAGCAATTTTTTTTTAATAAAATATTTATTTTCAGATTTCACTTTTATACATATTTTGATATTTTAATCTTTATTTTTTTCAGTTGCATATTTTTCGTTTTCAGATTCAAAACAATTATTTGTTCAGTTTCAAATCTTGTTTTTTCAGGTTTCACATTGCTTTTCACCTTCAGATCGTTTTTCACTTTCAGATATTTTTTTTTTCGCTTTCAAACTTTTGGCCCTGAAGTTGTTTGGGGGGGCGGGCTTACCAAAGAGTAGTTTGGCATCCTGAGTGACAGGCCTCCCTCTGTCATGCTAACGTCTGTAAAGGACATGTCATTTGGGAAATGATACAGGGTTCTACTTTGTTTTGATTTTGGTGTTTTGGGGCAAATATATTAAAGGTCACCTACTGTATTATGCAAAATCCACTTTTTCATGTATTTTATACATAAACATGTGTCTCCTCTGTGTAAAGATATTCTGAAGGTTTCAGGAAAAAAGATTCGCCCACTTTTTGTCCTGATCCATTTATATAAAAACCTGTCTGAAAATGAGCTGATCAGATTTTGGCCACTTTATGATGTCATAACGATTTTTTTGGCTTGTGTAACCATTAGCCAATCACCAACCAAGGTAACCCCCCCCCACCCCCCTTATCACCTGAATCTCCTCCTAGAGCACCATTGTGTTCTTTTTAACCAAATATCTCTCAGAGGGGTGTGGGGAGTGGCTCCTTATTTTCATCTAAAGTAACAGACAGAGAATCAGCACTTTTGAAACAGGGCTGAAACAGAGGGGTTTATGGGATGCTGCAATGGGTGATCTGTTCGGTATTTCGAGCCAAACACTTCAGAGACATGTTTTGTATATATCTGACACCTATAATATATTGATGGAAAACAGTATAATAGGGGACCTTTAAAATGTGTTTTTGATGTATCCATGAATCCATCCAATGCTACAGCTATGTTAATAGTCAAAATCTAAAACAAAACAACAACATTTCTGGAGGATTCATTCTGTACTGTTTGTCCTTCCCCGTCAAGTTGAACATGACCAATGACTATAAAAGTAGGAAGTCTTACCTTTGATGCCAAACTTGGAATTCCCTCCAAACTTGAGAATGACCAACATTAGAAGGAAACCGGTAAAGGCCACAGCAGCAATGCCCACCACCACGTACACCTTCACATTGAGGAAACAGAGTTATACTTTATACAAAAATATAATGACACCAGAAGTTATAGACTATCGGCATATTTTCTAAATCCCTGCTTTGTCTTTGTATCGTGGTGTGTCCGTGCAGTTCCGTTTAACATGATCAAAATAGATCCAGCTCAGGTATCGATGAAATCAGCAAAGAGGACAACAGTAAAATGTGACTTACAGCGACTCCGTCTTCAGGAGGTTCTGTAGTGGGGGCGTCTGTTGAAGGAGAGATGGTTTTAAAAAGAGAAGAGTCATTAGAGAAGTGAAGAATAGTCTTGTTTGTTATAGTAACATAAACATCCTTGAGTAAATATAATGTTGAAGTTGATATGCTTCTGCAAACGTTTAACATTGTGTGCATCTGCTCCAAATAAAATATAAATACTACTATACATACCTAAAGAAACTCGGTTTTATATTTTTCCACAGCTAAACAGGGTCTTTCTTATTATACTTATTAGGACTAACTAGCTCTACACTGAAATATGAAGTATAGTGTTTTTTTATTTCCATGTTTTCTTCATCATCTTATGATGAGGATGCTGACTTTTGCCGGGAAAAATACCATCTGGGCCTCAGTGTTTATGCTATGAACTTGGCCCTTAAGTTCATATTCTGGAGTTTCTTATTGGCTTTTTATTTGAAAAGGGTCACCTGGAAACATAAGTAGCTGGATAACGTTTTTTAAAAGAGCTATGACAGCATAAAGATTCACATTGATGTCATTTGAGAAGGCAACATTGATGAAATGGCTTTTGCCGGCCTGAAATCAAAGATGTATACCAATGATACCAAATGAAATATTCCATATTTAATATATCAATTTAAACTGCATATGTGTTATAAGAAAACGTAAAGCTTGACAGGCATAGCAACTGTAACTACGGGGGCTAAGCAATGTTTGTGATTGGGAGTGTTCGAAGGTGTAGCGGTACCTGTGAATGGATCTGTAGTGGGGACAAGGTGTGTGAGAAACAGCAAAAGAGACAACAGAGACAAATTAGCTCCTAAACATATCAACACACTTCACTTGTAAATTATTTGACTCGCACTTCACATCTAATGCTGTCAGTCATGAGCTTGTGCTCTAAGCTTGTTTCAAAAACATTACACAAACACAATACACAAACCAACAGACAACATATATTTAGCAGGCACAACATCAGAAATAATAAGAACGAGATCAGGGCCAGAATGTGGAAAAAGGAAAAACATCCCTAATGCCTAGCTGCAAGGTTGTGTAGGTATGTTACGCACCCTGACCAACTTGAGAGAAAAAAGAGAAAGAGAAAAATGTCTAAAATCTAATTTGTGTTAATTGATAGGGAGGAAAATTATAGGATGTTAAACAGAAAAAACATCTGAAAACACTGACACTACTGTATGAATACACCATCGATCTGGACTGGATGTTTTATATTTATCACTTTTACATTAGATACAAAATGTGTAGTCATGAAAAATGATTTCACTCACCATAATAGTTGTCCTTATCCGCCTCTGCACATGAAATATGAAAACAAAAGATAACTTTTAATAAATATTCTCTCTGATAAATATTAATATACCAGTGTGTATACAATACATACAATATAAGATGTTGTCCTGTTTAATCAAGGTGGTGAGAAATGTTGCTTTTTGTGACGCCAATACAGTTTTTTCAGATTTATTTTTATGTGCAGATACTTAATTCTTAACTGTTTTAAAGATACTGTTTACCTGCACACAATCACCCCTCTGATCCCCTTAGAAAATCAGTTCCATGTCTATCTCACATGTCATTTCTATATTCTCTATAATTTAATATCAATTATAATAACAGCTCCTCCTTCAAATCTTGTGACTACCAAAAACCGCTGATACAAAACCGCCAGTATGGCATTGCTTTTGTAAAAGGAAAAACATAAGCTGTCATATTCTAGCTGGTGCTTTAAAACCCAGAGGGGAAATGTTCTTGAGCACAAAGGTCAAAAGCATTTATCTGAACATTTACTAAACAGAAATCTCTAACAATATCTTTTATAATTTTTGTATTATAATTTCTTATAATAATATATTTCTTATAATAATTATAAGTTCTGCAAACAAAGAAAAATACTAATACAGATTGCAAGTCACATTAATATATGAGCTAAATTGTGTAGTTCATTGCTCAGTGTTTACACATCACCACATTTGAGAAGCTGCAACATGGGAATATTGCTTGAAAATACATTATTTATTTTAGTTATATAGATTATATTTTGTATATAATTTTATATATACATTTATTTAATATAATAATAATTATTAACTGATGATAAAAACAGTTGATGAGAAATGTTTTGTCTATGTCTTATCATCGAGCAACTGTTTCAGCTCTGTACTTAATGAAAGTAAAAGCTTGATTTTGCTTGGTGCTGCTCCTCACCCTCCCAGGGCTTGGTCATGAAGTGCGCCTCCACCTCCTTCGTGTCTGTGCCGTATTTGTTTGTAGCCACCAGCTTGTAGCGGCCGTTGTTGAGGTGTGTGGGGCTGTCGAGCTGCAGGCAGCCGTGGAACTCTCTCTCTGTGACGTCATGGATCATCGTCACGATGAATTTGCCCTCCATCACAAGTGTATCATCCTGATACCACAGCAGCTCTGGCTTTGGGTTTCCTGGGAACAACATGAAGACAATACTTGACACGGTGATTTTCAGTGCTTTCAGATATTTGAATCATAAGTCTATCTTTGCTCATCAATTCAATTCAAATTCAATTCAAAACCTTTATTTATCCAGGTGAAATCCCATTGAGATCAATGATCTCTTTTTCAAGGGAGACCTGCAGCAGTAGGTTCCACATGAAGACATACAAACATAAACAACAGAACAACAAAAGGACATCATACAGAAACATTTACAGGGCTCATGTAGTCGTTGCTCTGATACATTTAACGGGAACATACAAAATTAAGGCCAAGTATTTTAGACCTAAAGACAGAAAATAAACAGCTAAGTCCCACTAATGCTGTGTTTCCAGTGCATAGTACTCTACTCTAATTTCATTTCCATTTGAATAGTAAGTACTGCCTTATAGTAGCCAAGGCGGGGTGAACAGCTGTTCCCCGTTGCAACACCAATTTAAACTGGCGTGTAAATGGAAGACTTGCTGAATTATTTCATTTGCAACTATGCAGAGTTACGTCTGCCATCTCAGTTTTAGGGTAAGGTGTCCATTGTGCTTTGCCAGGTGACTGCAAAACATTCTATTGACAGCTATTTGCTTTTTTCAAAAAGTACCAGGTGCTATACCTAGTGGAAAACCAAAGAAAGTCAAGTGGAGTCCTAGCATGCAGTGGAAACTCGGCACATACACAATTTGTGTATGTGTTTACCTGACATGCTGAAGGGGATGCACCAGTGATGGTCGGGGATTGCATCAGTCAGCTTCGTGATTTTGGGAGGAACTGAGTGTAGGAGAGAGAAGAGAGAGCAAGTGTGAGATTCAGACAATAAAGAAAGGAAGATAAGAGCGTACAGTAGCTCTCAGACAAAGCTACAGCATGCAGAAACACAGTTGTCTTCTCCAGCTTTTAATTCTCTGCTTTAAAGAGTGGGCTGACACATACAGTACTTTGACACAATAATCTAAATTAAATCAGGGCTGTTTTCCAGAGGGAAAACGTACAAAGTATATCCAACATCAGCGCGGACTCTTTCTCTCCAACGATGTTCTCAGCCGTGCAGCTGATCTTGCTGTTGTGATCCAGTGACGACAGGTTGGAAAGTCGCAGCACTGAAATCTGTCCCGATGTCTCGATCTGAGGGAGTAAAAACATCCATATATCAGCACGATGAGTCAGCTTTTTTTGTATGTACATAGTGAAAAATGTTTAAGATTTGTGGCTAAGAGTTGAAAGCATTAGATTCAGGTGATCATACCCATCCATGGCGTTTTTAATCAAATCAAAAAGTAACACCTCACAATATCATATAAATAACTCAGTTTTCGGTTATTTTAATAATGGATTCAATTATCTAAGGGATCAACGATTAGTTAAAACATTCTGGACTGCAAATTCAGTTTATTTTCTTCGATTTTCTCCTGTCAACACTCTAGAAAAGGCCAAAGATGTTGGCATATGACAAACAAAAAAGCCCCAAATCCTCACTTTTGAGAAACTGAAGCTACAAAATATCTTACATGAGCACTTGAAAATTGACAGCTACAATTAATAAATCAAAATATATTTGTTTCTGTCAATCAATAAATCAATTAACTGTTGTATCTCTAAAAGCAATAAACATAGGGCATGCCATGTCATATGAAACATGTCTGTAAAGTAAAGTAAATCTGCTCGTGTGTATTTCTGTGTGTATTTCCGTGTGTGACCTGACCTCATAGTTGGAGACCAACGCCATGTTCCATATGAGCTCGGGCGAGGGCACCCCCGAGGTCGTGCAGGACAGGTCCACATGCTTCCCCTCCATTAGTGTCACCTTGGATGGGTTCAACGTTGCCATGGGAACCTCTACATACAACCAGGGGGGGGGGGGGGGGGAGAGGAAAAGAGGAAGGAAGCAAACTTAGGATTCATGGCCAACTCTTGTCTTTTCATTTGAAACACAAGGCACGTAACAACCTCGACAATATGAGTGGAAGAGCAGGCAAACACACAACCACTACCACAGAGTGAAAAGAAGAAAACACAAAGAAAAGACCACAAATTCACCCTCTCTCTCTCCTCTCTCTCTCTCTCTCTCTCTTCTCTCCTCTCTCTCTCTCTCATCTCTCTCTCTCTCTCTCTCTCATTTCTCATCTCTCTACAGCTCCATCTCCATCCTCTCTCTCAGTCCTCGGCCGTCTCTCTCATCTCTCATGCTCTGCTCTTCTCTCATCTCTTTCTCCTCTATCATCCGGTCTCTCGTCTCTCTCATCGTCTCCGAATCTCTCTCTCTCGTCTCTCTTTCGTTAAGCACACATTCCCCCCAATCAAACAGCCAGACAAAGACACAGAGTTCAAACATGGTGATGGTTACACTGATTACTACTGCATGTCTTCAGCAGCCCAAGAACTGAATTGATTGGACACAGTCTGAAGCCTCAGTCAAAGCTAAGACATTGGTGACTGTGTGTGTGTGTGTGTGTGGTGTGTGTGTGTGTGTGTGTGTGTGTGTGTGTGTGTGTGTGTGTGTGTGTGTGTGTGGTGTTGTGTGTGTGTGTGTGTGTGTGTGTGGGTGTGTGTGGTGTGTGGTGTGTGTGTGTGTGTGTGTGTGTGGTGTGACCCAATCAGACCTCATCAGAGTTTTTTGCCACCCTCATCTCCTGTCCAGTAACATCTCTGATGAAAGAAAAAGATTTCGAAGAGAGGGAGAAAAGATGAGGAGACATGAACCTAAAGAAGGTAAGAGAAGAAGATCAGACCAAAGAGAAGAGAAAGAAGATGAAGAGAGCAAATCGAAAAGACAAGAAGGAAGAATGAGAACAAAGAGAGGGTGAAGAGAGGATAACAGGAAAGGAGAAAAGAGAAGAGAAAGAAGATGAGAAGAGAGCAAATCGAAAAGACAAGAAGGAAGAATGAGAACAAAGAGAGGGTGAAGAGAGGATAACAGGAAAGGAGAAAAGAGAAGAGAAAGAAGATGAGAAGAGAGGAAAGAGACAAAGAAAGGACAAGATGAGAACCAAATGGAGGCAAGAAAAAAAGAGGGGATGCCAGTCGAGCACCAAGAAAACTGGAAAACAGATGAAAAACAAGCAAAGGGAAGAAGAGGAGGAGGCGAGAGAAGAAGAAAGAAAACACCAGGAAATAAGAGTAGCTTAGACAGGAAGAAAGAGAAGAACAAAAAGAAGAGAGGAAAAGAGATGGGTGTCGACAGCTGGACAGATTCCTTATCAAACCCCCCCCCCCCCCCCCCCTTCGTCCACCTCGTCTGTCCGTCGGCAGAATGCTTATCACCAGTGCAACCCACTTATCACTAAGGCAACCTACTCAGTCACCATGAGACGCACACAAAAACAGTCATTTCAGCCATATCACAACCACATATCTTAACAGGCTCTCCGTAAATCAGCTTTCTACTCACACTATACACCCTCTGCAGTGTCTCACTCACACACACACACACACACACACACACACACACACACACACACACACACACGCACACACACACACACACACACACACACACACAGCTGGATTTCAGAATGAAACTTCCGGAAACAGACTCTATTGTGAGTGCAGTTGTCATGACCTGTCAGTACATAGAACATTATTCCATTTACTATTGTGTACGAGCGCAGCTTTGGTAGTCAAACCACCCATGACATCCGGAGTGATTGTAATCCTTTAGCGGCTCAGATGTGTGCAGAATCAACAAGTAGGATTGAAGAGGAATTTACTGTGATTAGTATGGTAGACCAGCCTGTGTCAGTGACAACACGTGAATCATTACGAGGAATGATTGAACTATTGTTTGGACCTGTTGAGGTTCTGCAGCTGGTTGTAAACATATGGGAAACACGGGGAGTCAAGTATCTGCAGAGCGGGAGCCAACTTAATGCACAACATCCAGGACACTGGCTGACTGACGCCACCAAATGGAATAGCTCTGTTGTCATTGAGGTAGATTTTTGACATTTAAGCTCAGTAGTTGGTTTGATTTCAAAGCAGTTAAAACCTGTTACGCCCCAAAGCCCCCCTCGGCGGGGGCTTTTTTTTCACGACACTGTGTCTCAGGACATCTTAATATTTAAGAACCTATTAATGTGTTATACCAGATTAACGGGAAGAATCTCAGCTAACTGACGATACAAACCATTTTTACCAAAACAAAACACAAGTCTCATAAGAAGCATCTAAATGACCCCTGAGCAAAAAATGCTAACGCACTTTGGCACAGAACTCAAGATAAAAGATACCCTTATTACTTATCGTAGCTGCACATACAAGATATCCGATTAAAGCTGAGGTTCCACAGATTATTTAGGTATATTACCATCACTGAGTGATCCGAACTCGCGACAGGGGAAGCAAACACAGACATCACAACACGTAACTTTACGGAGCTTTAACGGGAGATCGTCTCACCGTAGCTGTCAATCTGATCAAAAGACTTGTTCATTGGCATTAAAACGAGAAAAAACCGCAGCTGAATCGGTTAATCCATAGGTTGATAATGTTTCTGTGGATTTGAAAAAATTATTTATAATCCATAATTCCATTTTTATGTAAAAACCGGCTTCCGGTTTTGGCTATGTGTCAGTCTCACAAACACACATTACCAAATAAGGAGTATGTGGGAGTTCCCCTCGATTCCATTGGCTCTGACGGTTAGAAAGAGATGTCAATCAGCAAAATCGAGCAAGGGGGGCCAGAGATATGGAAAATCCACCCAAATGACCCCAGAAGTGTTTTTTTTATGCTAAATCTCTCTAAAAAGGTCAAATTTAACTTGTTTTGCATCAATCTTGATACAGGGTACTTATTATATGTTATAGTCTTTTAGTCTACCATCTCATCATTCAAGGGTGGTTTTCACTATAAGTATTATCTTTTTTTTGGACGGACACATAATTTACATTTTTTTACTGTGTTCAATCTGAATTTACTTTAAAATAAAAACATCTATATTGATTCTGAGACTTCTACATCCAACTCACGGGTGTAACCTTGCTTTGAGAAAAAAGATTATTAATTTAACCCTTTTAGAAGGGAAGATATGGTCATTTGTTCTGGGAATGTCATTTTCGAGCCTGAGACCTGAAAAACAGGCTCGGGGCTTAACAAGTTGTAATAAACAATATATGAATATTATATTGATATTTTGAAATTAGATTTTGTCTTACATTTTTTATATCACAATGTCAAGTGGGATCTTTTTGTGGTTTCAAAAGATGCATCACAGTAAAGCAATCTAATTTTCAGAAATAACCAGACTGTTCCAGCTTTTCTATTATTTGCTTATACCCTCTTAGTCATTAGATCCACATTACTGATAATTATTTATAAGAAATCAAATTTTGTGAAAACACAAAAATCCAGGCTGTAGAATATCATCACAATATCGATATTGAGCTATTTGGTCAAAAATATTGTTATAGATGATTTTTCTTCATATTGCCCGTCTCAATTAACGCCAGACTACTATTTCCAGAATAAACTTTTGTGTTTAACAAAATAATAACTGATCATCAGTGTTGGGGGTAACGCACGACAAAGTAACGTTTCACTTTAATCAGATTACATTTGTCTGTAACGCGCTACTGTTGATAATAACAGTACTTACATTAGGCTACTTCGCACAAAATGATCTCGTTACTTGCGTTACTTTAAAGGTGGGGTATGTCATTTTGGAGAAACCAGCTCGAGTGCGCTAGAATTTGAAAATACACAACTGGAAAAAATCTGCTACTTCCTTCAGACTTCCTTACAGAGCCCCTCCTCCAACACACACGAACGCACACATGACCAATGAGGGCACGAGATAAGTTTGTGCACAGATGGAAGGCTGACAGGCAGGTAGGCCATCCAGTTATTTTAGCCGGGCCGGCTAAAATGATTGGTCGTGCTTTTTACAGCGCCACGGCTCTTCCACATATTTATTTTTTATTTTTTATTGTCAAAGCATTTAATATATTCATTGCTATCGGGATGTTAAGAGCATTCCATGGAATATAACAAAAAGTGTTTCTGAAATAAATTACATACCACACCTTTAAGGTCTTCAACTATCTGCATAACGGGAGGACAGAAAAATTAATCAAACGTCAAAGAAAGAATATCCTATAAATTGTACCTTTGGGTAATTTTTTCACTATTATAACCTTGTGGGACTTTGGTGCACAAGCAGTTAACTTGCACTTTCCTTCAAATTGTATTTCTTTGTATTACCAGATGTCATTTCAAGGACCTTCTTTTTCTATAAACAATGATATTCAAAGGCAGATAATTGTGCAAGATTGTAACAAAGAAACCTCATTGCTAACACCCCAGTCCTTGACACTCCTTGACTCCTTGAATTCAGATTACCTTTATTCAGGGGGCATTTGCTACAGTATGAAAGAGCTGTGAATTACAGGCCCAGCATTGGAGATATGCCCCGGTGATGTGGAGCTGAATAGCTGCTCACAGCTCATATTTAAAAGCAAAACATCCGATCCGGATTGAAACCTCTGCACAATACACCCAGGCATACTTCAGCGTCATTGTTAGAGGTGTCATTGTTGTCAGCTCTTGTTATGGGCCGCAATGGGCACATCAACATCTGTGTTTAGAGAAGTGTTCATCTTTATTATGTAAGGCTCTAGCCTCTACACCACAGAGGTGTGGTGATTTCTGATGAAAGGCAGGAGCAGAAGAGAGACATTTTTCACAAAATTAACATCAGGGAGAGAAGAAAATGTGCCAAAAAGTGACACAACACAAAACGCCTCCCTGAGTTTGTCTCTGTATATTTCTGTTGTTTCAGCACAGTGAACTGTCGGTGCATTATGAGAGGGTTTCAGTGAGGAAGAGGGAGGAGAACAGATGACAATACTAGCTGAGCAGCTTTTAAACCCAGAATCTGTTGTAGATTATTCACTTTCTTTCAAATTGACTGTCTGACATCATTTTGGGGTTTTAATTTTCCTGAATCTGCCATCCATTCTGTTAAGTTAAGGCTAAAACCATGGTTAAAGTAGTGAAAACATCATCAATGTATAATAGGAAGGTGAAACGTTGGTTTCCTGCATAAGGAGCAGACGCACCCATCCATCACCTCGACCTCCACACCCCTACTCTCCACTTCTCTGCACTAAGGACACTTCCTGCATTTGCATTGGATGTAGTCAATCTTGAGGGGCATAACCATCTAACCTGGACAGAACACGCCATGATATTGATGGGGTTCAGCTTTGATTCATTCTTGTCGTAAGAAGGACTACTTATAAATTCAAAAATGAAAACTGTACACCATCATTGCAACAGATTTTTCCTCCCCATTTCAAATTATTAGCAATTACCTTGTTTTCATTCCCATAAAGATGATTTACTGAATTGTTTTGCCCAGCTGTGCTCTTCTGTTTTTAAAGCTGTTTTCCATGTTCAACCCTCTTGAATCCTTACAGTATGTTGACAAAACCTCTCTGCTTAATGATGTCAGCGTATGCTAAAAATGGCTGCAGGGAGGCAACACCTGACCTTACTATACGTCAAGTCCATCACCTTTTGAAATACCTCTTTAAACATCAAGAATACCATCTTAACTTTCTGTCAATCTACATGTGCTGATTTTATTTGTGCTTTCTCAGATCTGTGTGGATTTTAAATGTAGTTTTTCAACTTTTGTGCCTTGTTTAGTTCAAGTGAGTATTCTCCCTATAGAAAATTCACACATGTCAATAGCATCGACTGCTCACAGACACGGAAGCCATCTGGCCTTTTTACTTATTATGTACCATTCCGGTGCCTACGTGTGCTTGTGTTAGAGAAGGAGATATAGATATTAGATGACAGGAAATAAGACTTGAACAATAATTTAAAAAATGACAAAACAAATGAGAAAGGGAAATGAAACCTGAGAGCCAGTCATTCCAGACAGACAAATGGACAGACGGAGAGATAGAGGCAGACAGAGATAGATATAGAGAGCGACAGATGAGGACAGATGAGGACAGATGAGGACAGATGAGGACAGATGAGGACAGATGAGGACAGATGAGGACAGAGGGCAGCAGCGCTGTGATGTGACCAGCAGAGGTCCAGCAACCCATCTGCTGTCACTTCCAGGGCACAGTGTGGGGAAAATGCACCTTTTCTTAGGACAGCTGGTTTAAATTACAACATTTAAATCAAATAGGATATGTAGATATGTTCCTTTAACAAGCATGATCCACAATTACTAATTAAGAAAGGGTTGCTAAAGAACATTTCCATAATGAACAAGCATGGGGTTGCAGTAACATCAGCGCATTATTGTTCTAAGTTAGGGTTCTTACAGGTCAGCAGTGGGGACAGTCTGTGTTTGCCAGCCTTTTGGAGTGGAGCTCCGGCAGAAAACAGTCCACAGAGAGAAACCGAGCGAGAGACATATGCGGGTGGCCTGAGAGATCAGTGTCAGCCCGAGGGCATCGTTGGGCACTTCCTCTGCTTTGTGCCTTCCTCATATGTCACTCAGAAATGTTCAGACAGACTGTCATACATGCGAGCAGACCGAGAGATGGAAAATGAGTAATACAGAGAGGGGAGACATAGCCTGAGAGAGGGGGAGGCAAAAGATAGCTTGAAAAACGACATAGAGAGCAAAAGGCCAGCAGTTCGGACTTTGTGTGCATCAGTGACAGCCCTGGGGCATTATTTGGCACCCCCGCTCCACCATGTCCTCCTCCTCCTCATATGTCACACTGCCAGGGGGTCCCCTGCCCACCTCTCCAGGGGCCCCGCTGTAACTGTGCTAATGCCAAAAATAACCTCCGCTAATGGAAGGGAGGCAGAGGGGACGGATCAATAGGAGTTATCAATGACATTGTTAGCTTCCTGAATGCTAACTTATTGTTTACGTCCCAAATGCCCTAAGCTATTTTTGACCGGATGGAAAAAATACTTTCAGATTCATGTTCGGGATTATTAGAGAGAACATTTGATTACATCTCAATTGAGACCCATAGAGCTTTTCTGACTGCAATTATTGTTTTTTTTATAAATTCAAATCAGACATGAAGACTTCTTTATGTCTTCGCTTTACACACACAAACTGGATCCGACTGGACTTTTTGCTTTCAAGGCTGGACTATCTGCCTTTCATTTGTGCGCTAGGGTAAAACACAAAGCTTTTAATATTACTTTATGTCACTTATAGCCTGATTTATGCTTATCAAAACCTACTAATCCTGGCTAAATGTGTACAAGCAGACAGGTCAAGCTGTATCTGGCCTTGTTGATGAAAAGAAGGAAGTCCAAAATAGAGAGCTTCTTAAAAAAACTAAGGAGAAAGCATCGATTAACTGCTGACATTTATACATTCAAGCTTGATCAACACTCCCGTAAGCAGGGACATAAAAGCTTTGTGGTCAGTGGATGTCTGTCTAGTGAGAGCAAGCATGCTGGTTAGCTTGACATTCCACTTGTATTGTAAATAACTGTATGAACTTGTACTAATAATATAATTTTGTGGTTGTAGAGACTATTGGTTTTTGGAATACTTAAAACCATTTCTTAAACAAAGATGCAACACTCTCATTACGTTTCGCAATTATATCAAAATGGAAAACGTCTTTCATTGCTCATAAAAATGTGATTATTGCTGTTGCTATCAAGTGTTGCTGCTCTCAAGAATGAATCCCTTTACAGACGACCGAAACATGATTCAGAGAAATTGGAAATGAAATCTGCTGAATGACGGTGGGTCAGCGGTGCCACAGGACACTGTGCAGATGGTCTTTATATAACACTTCATTTTATTGTGATACATGCAGTACATTTTCTCCACTCAGCATCTTTGAAAATCACTGATGTCATCTATGTATTTGTTCACACAAACACTCCCTCTCCGTCCTTCTTCCATAATGTCCTACACACGGTGACCTTTCCACACCTACGAGCAAATGTCTCGGATGACTGTAACTGGTCTATAAGATTAACACACAGCACACTCAAACACCACTCTGTAGGTCACACATTTCACTCTCCTCCATCTGGCAGCTAATCTATGCATCATGAGAAAACTCCCTACAGCACAGAGATAACGTCAGCCTGTTTAGTGTGGGTGCCCTTTAAATGACACCCTGCACAAACCAAACTACATTGTTGTAGTCAGGTCTCTGCATGCATGCATTTGGTCATTTGTTTGCCTGTTCATCTGTAAGACATTGAAGCTTTTTGCACCGTGCAGTGTCTGGAGAAATTACAATGTACAGGCTAAGCCGAGCACTGGGTAAGTGAAATACAGTGTGTCCTCACTTTAGCTTTATGACATTTAGTACAGTTATTCTCATAGGTTTTATCAAAGAAACATCTCCTTCTCAATGTGTTCATCCTCTGTACACTTGTGAGAATCAACAAAATACTTAGCACACTTGTCTTGCTATTACTATTAAGCTTTTTAGAGCACATGTCCTCCACTTAAACACATACAAGTTTATGCATACACATACACTAACATAAAAACAGATGTACCAGACATATGCGAAACATATGAGAACACAGAATCAAAACAAAGATTAGGAAAAATCTTTGCAGAGGAAACCATTAGAATGACTGTTTTCCTCCAGGTGCTTCAACACTTTGCACCCTGCCACAGCTTGCGAATGTCTTTTCCAGCCAGTTACCCTCTGTGTGTGTGTGTGTGTGTGTGTGTGTGTGTGTGTGTGTGTGTGTGTGTGTGTTGTGTGTGTGTGTGTGTGTGTGTGTGTGTGTGTGTGTGTGTGTGTGTGTGTGTGTGTGTGTGTGTGTGTGTGTGTGTGTGTGTGTGTGTGTGTGTGTGTGTGTGTGTATTTGTGTCTCCTCACCACAGTTGGGTAGTGTCAGTCTGGACAGCAGCTTGCGTACTCCTCCATCCTCGATGCAGCGCAGCTCCTGATTGTCTGCTTCCTCTCCCAACCACAGTTTCATCCACATGTTCTCACAGGAGCAGTGCAGAGGGTTCCCTGCGAGGATCCTGCACACACACACACACATACGCACACACACACACACACACACACACACAGTCAAGAACAGCTGAGAACCGTGAGTATTAAAGCATGTGAGTAAATGAACATTTTAAAGACAAAGAAATAGCTGAATTGTACGAGTGCCATAAAGAAACAGTTTAACATGTTGGGAAATATGTTTGAAACTACCTCCAGCAGCACGTTAGCTTAGCTTATCATAAAGACTGGAAGCAGCAGAAATACAAGTTGAGATGTGGTAATGTCCTGGACTATTTCTTGACTGGGAATAGTAACTTCCTGGAAATTGAACTTTACAGACATGACAGTTTTTAACAACTCATGTATTGAGCTAAAACTTCAATTTTAACTTGGCAAACGGAAATGCTCTACTGCTAAATGCTCTAGCAAATGGGCTACAACTGCCTTTTGTCGTGCAACACTGTGTTGCATAATGACAATAAATGATTATTTCTCAGAATCACTCGATGCAAAGTGAAAACTACTGCTTTATTTGTAATAACAGTTAATGAGAGACTGAATCACTGTATGTCTGGGGAAAGGGATGTACAACATGGGGTCAAAGCCGATCTCACATTAACATTCCTTGGTTGGTTCATTTCTGCTGGGCAACTTCATCTCTGTCCTCACCCTGTCTCCTAAATCTAAATCTAGATTAAAAGATGTTCTTTCTTTAGGTTATCCCAGAATAGCAGACAGAGGTAACTTCACATCATTACTCTATAGTTGACATCACATAAGCAGTAGGAACGTGTTTATAGACTGACTGATGATAACTAGGCGGTATAGCAGAGAAGGAAAGACAGACAGATGGAGATGGACAGACTGATCGAGAGGCTGGGCTGAACTCACATATAGGACATGTTGAGGTGTCTGAATATCCTCCAGGAAAGTGACGACAGGTTGTTATCTTTCAGATTCCTGGAAATTAAGTCAAACAACATGTAAGATTGCTGTTTAAAGCCATACCAAAACATTGTTTTACAGAAACTAATATTTATACGCATTAATAAGCCTAAATAATTTGTAATCAATTACGGTAAATCAAGGTTTATTTTAATTGTAACTTTAATTATGTTTGTTTATTGTCCTATTAAACTTGAACTTCATCATTCGTCTCTTTTTTTCTGGTGAATGTTTTCTTGATAATGTTGAAACTAAGTAGTCTTATATTATATACCATACATTTCCTGTCAATATTATCAATAAATAATACCAAATAAAGTAAATCAAATAAAAACATGTATTCATTTGAAAAGAAAACAGTTTGTTTTACTTTACATATACAGTCTATGTTGTTTTATCCCCAACTGAGTCAAACATCTTACTCAGTAATGGTGAAGAGTAAATGGAAATCAAGGAATAGTTTACATTGTTTTTACTTACAGGTACTGTATCTTGATGTTGTTTTGAAAGGCCAGCTTCGATACATACGTAAGCCTGCTGTTGGTCACCGTTCTGCAACAAAAAAAAAAAAAAACAGCTTTACAATTGTCAACAACTGCAAAATGAGTTACATCAAAACGTGAATTCAGGTTCTTAATCAGCTCCACAAGTCTTAAAATGTATTTTTGGTCACAGTTTCTAATAGGTCATCTCAGAGGTAGATAAATCTTTGTTCAGACGTGAATATAACTTTCAAGATAAACAAAGTATGCCCCCCCCCCAAAGGGACCGGTAAACCGTCCTCTTTCTAACGTTACCATTAGGAAAAATCTAGGTTTGGACCAATGGTCAACAGCCAACGGCCATCTTTCCTTGTTCTGAGCATCATGAATATCACACTGCTGTGTGTTTTCCAAAATGCTAAATAAACTAATCATATAAAATTAACATTTCACTAATCCAGGTTGTCCATACAACATTTCTGAATTTAAGATCTTTGTTGGAAACACAGCACGCTTGTAAATTTAAACGATGGTATAATGTATAAAACCTGCTTTAAGATTGAGATGCTGTACATTCTCAGCAGTGTTGAAACCAGATGCAAAGTGTGTGTGCTCCTCATCAGCTCAGGCTGTAAGACATCATTATGTGTTGTGAAATGTTGTTTCAGCAGATGTTCTGTGACGGATTCATCTCCTCAGACATGACTGAGCACAGATTTACATCTCATCAGTTACGAAACACGGCAATTAGTTACTGTAAAAACATCAAAACTGTGAAATATCTTATACGTATCAAGACAGAGTGTAATTGTTTGAGTATTTCTCAGACAACTGGGACTGTCTATGGCTGTGGATTATTATGTTTCAAGAAAGTGCTGCTTGGTGGACAATTATTATTTTTAATTAAGAAATAAAATGAAGCACAGATACAGACCCGAGTAACTACAAAACCCTGCAATAAAATCAGGGTTTAAAGCAACAGACATGTACGATACATTGCCTTAAGCAAACAATAAAGGTAAAGTAAATCAATATTTCATATAGTGGATCATACCAGCCAAATATGTTGTAATATTAGAAAATGTTCTTTATCGGCACAAAAAAGCTTATTAATTTGACACAACGATGTAGTTAACAGAACAGCCACAAGGAATATAACAACAAAAACCTGTGTATTATGATTATATTATTATGAAAAATGTGACCATTGACAAAAGGTCTGAATGTATCCTGAGTCAAAATGTGTGTCTTGTAATATAAGACATAGAAGACTCACAGGTTCCTGAGATTCTTGTAGTAGTGCAGGTCTTTGTCGTTGATGGAGGAGAAGCTGCCCTGGTTGGCGATTGTAACTGTCGGGGGATACAAGTTGTGTGTCAGAAGGCTCATTTGTAACAGAGGGAAGCAAACAGAAGCATTTCAACAAGACAAAGGGACGTAATAAGCCCACATGATTAAAGTTTTAAATTTAAAAAATAAAACTGCAGCTGATAAATGGCACAAGAAGGGGCTGGTAGTTGTTTTTTTTAAAACACAAAAACCGGCACAGCTCTCTTCCCTCTTTTCCTCAGCTGCACTGAAGCAGGGCTCTTGAACCAGATTAGGGGCCAACCGGAGATGATTGAGGGCGAATCCCCGGTGTGAATGAGTAAAACTGTTAACAGATCTGCAAAACAGTAAGTCTACTTTTCAAGAGCTTTGGGATCAGAAGTCTGAGAACATTTAGAGATAAACTCCAAATCACCTCCAGAGGGAACATACTGTAACAGAAACCTTCAGACTTACCGTGGTACGCATTGTCTGGCTTAATCAGAAGGTCATTAAATAATGTTTTTTCATGTGGCAACTGAGAGCAAAAAACATCTCTAAATTATAGTCATTGATTTCCAAGATCATTACATGGCTATACTTGTCAAGGGGCTTCAGTTCAAGATTTGTTTTGTGTTGCTAATTATTCCCAATACACAAGAGGGACCAAATGTGTGCACTTCCTTGCAAAAATCTTCAGGTAAAAAAAACTAATAATACTTAACTGCAGGGCATACAGGAGTTTGCAAGCAATTAGACTTTAATCAAATCGTTTATTTCTCTTTTCCTAATTTCAACGTTTCGATCTGCAAGACCTTCCTCGAGCAACCTGGCAAATTTGTTGTAGATCCAAACAGTGCCTATAGAAGAGAACAAGACTAAATATTTGGAGCCTTATGGTGCATATACCTTTTTTAGCCTGCAGCTATTCCAATACAACATGATTCACTGTGTCCTCTTTCAATTCCCTGAATTTATACCAGTATAATTGTTTTTGGTTCCAGAAGATTGATCAGTGAAGGTTTAAAAGATGACACCTTACTGTTAAAAATATTCTATAGGGGTTCTGGTGGCCTTTTGTGGTGTAAGACGCTGTACCAAACCACACAGTGTAATTGCTTTAAAGCCGGCGGGAGACTTTAGTTGAATACCACTGCTCCTCTCTCTCACCTCATTTCCTATCAGTGCTCTGCTGTCACCATTAGAGTCAAAATAAAGCCTGAAAAAAGGCAGTACAAATGTGTAGTAATACAATTGGATATGTGGCTTTCCACAATTAAAGAACCAGGTCTACAACGTCAGCATTATTCTGTTTTACACTCTGATCAATTAAACCACAACACACTGTTTCATAAAACTACATTCACTTATGTAATATTGGCTGACAATAATATCACACAACTGAAATTCAATTCTAACTGAATGTTTGTAGGGTTATAATCTAATTTGAAATCTTCAATAAATCACCTGCATCAACGTCTCCGATAGTATCTGTAAATAAGCAATAAGAAGAAAGTGCTCTGGATTACGCTGCTGCCACTGCCAAAGACAGTATCTCTGGTTTTAACACTGTTTGTTTTAGTGTGCAGGGGGGAGTTGAGTGTGCATTCACTACACCCACATGTGTCCGTTTGACTTTCATTTACTACTGCCTATCAGTATTAAGAGACAAAACCAAATACTTTTGTTTAAGGTTTAATGTTATTGTTTCATCTTCATTAAAGACTGCATTACTAATGAAACACTGTCTGTGCTGTTCTTCTTTGTTAGTATTTATAAAAGAGCCAACACCTCAAATAAACTCTTAAGATTTTCAATCTGTCATTCAATTATTCTGAAGCATGTTTTGTTAGCAGGTGAACTTAATAAGATTTGTTTGACTCAGCTTTTATACGAAACAGACATTGACACATTCATATAAACGGCTGTTTTGAGTATTAACACCCATACAGGAGTTCACACACAGCGACTTCTAAAGCTCATTATATGCTGTCATTATGTGTGAGCAGATGTCTTGAATTTCGGTGTTAACCAATTACCACAGGCAGGGGACATGATAACATAAATCCACGTTTTCTGGCAAGGTCGTTTTGGAGATCGACATGCATGGTCATCAGTGATTTGTCTGTTTACATTAGTGCTCAGTGGCTGCTTCTCAGCAGACTGCTGGCTCATTTAAACAGCTTCCAAGGCTTCTCCCAAGTTAATCTCTGACAAGTTATTATCAACAAGGCCGTTTATTGGTGCCAAGAAAGATAGGGCAGCAATTCAATATTTTAATCTCCTCTTTTAATTGCTCTGAGATAAAATGCTTCAACGTCAGAGTTTATTTTAGACCACGGTGACACTTCATGAAAAGGGAGTACAGTTTACATTTTTAAAAGCACACTGATCATTTATTTGTATTATCGTCACGAAAAAAAAGGGTCCAGTATTCAAGAGGAATGTTGACGGATTGTATGTGTTTTTTTCATAGAGATTTTTCTTCGCCTCTGTGGCCCATTAAAAAACACTCGTATAAGCCATCTTGGGAAGTGTCTCGCACTAATATGTGTCTCGCACTAATATTTGGAACAGTGGGTGGTGTGCGGGTCTCGGTCACACAGACACGCGTAAAGGCGCATGCACGCTCCTGCACACAGTAGGGGCTTTGTCTAATAGCCGGAATGAAGTCTTTCTGACTCAAGTCATTTCTTTATTAAATTGTCAGTTTCCATGCTGGTGTTGAAAGACTGATGGCCTCATGATGGCAATGTGTCTGTTATGCAATGTAGGTTACACATGATGCGAGTCTGACAGATACCCGTGCCGAATAAATGAAAAGGACCTACATTTGATCCAAATTGGTAAATCTGCGAATTATCTTTAAAATCATGCAAGAGATTAAGACTCAGAGCGAAGAATATACATTATCTGAACCGGTTGTGGCTCATTCCTTGCGAACAGTGCAGCATGTCAGCTCCAGACACAGCTGGCAGTTAAGGGGTAAAGGAGGACGGTTTATTTGGAAAGTGTTGGGAAATACCGCTACATTGAACAAATATAAAAATACCATTTATGAATTCGACATTCCTATTATGTAAATATGATGTTTCTGAGAGACACTCACATGTCGGTGATGTTCTCCATCTCCGCCTCGCTCTGTAGGACGGGGAAAGCATTGATCCCCCGCTCCGGGTCCACACAGGAGATCCTGGTGCTGCTGCAAGTACAATAAGACGGGCATGCCTCCGCGGACATCCACGGGTCTCCAGATCCCACTGACACCCCGATCACTACAACCCACCACCACCAGCAACGCCACGACCCAGACCCTCTCCCCGGCGAAGAGAGAGCCCCGCTCCCGGGTGTCCAGACGCTCATCTCGGGTACCAACTTCAGCTATTAGGCTCGCTGAACAGCCCCCACAGCCCGGCCCAGGCTGGCTGGGTTCAGCCAATCAAGGAAAGGAGAGAAAAAAAAAATCAAAATCCGATGCCTAGGTGGATGCAGGCAGTGCAGCTAGAAAAACCATCTGCAACGATGACTGAAGTGGATTAAAACCGGAGAGAGTGTCCTTCCTTCCTGCGCGTCTTCTCCAGAATCCCCGTCAATCAGCCAGTCAGTCAAAATCACACTGCCACACTGACGGGTGTGTGCCAAGGAGGATCTCTCTCTCCCTCCCTCTCTCTCTCTCTCTTTCTCTCTCCCCTCTGTCTCTGTCTCTCTCTCTCTCATCTCTCTCTCTCTCTCTCTCTCTCTCTCTCTCTCTCCTCTCTCTCTCTCTCTCTCTCTCTCTCTCTCTCCTCTCTCTCCTCTCTCTCTCTCTCTCTCTCTCTCTCAACCGGAGCCTCCTCGACACAATGTTCTCTGTGTTTGGATGAATCTCTTCTCAGAGATGGGTGGTGGTGGTTGGGTTGGTGGCAGGATAGGGGACAGACCAAATGTCAGGGTGAGGGAAACTGGTGCTCTGAACGCTGGATGCAGGGGAAGTAGAGCAGAGGAGGAGGACAGCGCATCAGAGCAGATCGTGTATAATGTGATATACCTCATTGACCCCCTTCAGGGAAATGCTCATTGCTCTGCCTGTTCTGGGGACAGGGTCAGGTGCCGAGCAAGAGGTGGTTCTCACTCAAGGGCACCTCAGCCAGAAAACATGCTGAATGTGTGTTTTTGTTGGTCACTCGTGAACCTTTGCACATCTGTTTTAATATGTGGGATCTCATGGGTTAAAGCTACTTTGTGCCAGGCATCACCGGCCTTCAGATGGAGGGTGAGCGTCCTTGTTTAACAGAGAAAGAGAGGAGGGAGAGGGGGGTAGTTGAAGGCGTTATTTAATTTATCTACTAGCTGGTTTCAGTTCATGTGCGTAAATGGGACTACAGGAGCAATCAATTTACAGCCGCTAATTGTCATAATCGGTCTCACCATCACTCTCATCGTTCCTATAATCATCATTATCATCTGGCTGTTATTTCACAAGTAGACCTGTACAGTTAATCAGTAAAAACGAAGCTGTCTGAAGGAGGTCCTACTTTGAGTTTAGGGTAGTCACACAAGTGCCTCATTTACATTCTTATCCTTGGTAAAAAATCCCTGACAAAAGAATCTGCTGTTTCCCTTTGAACAATGCATTTAAGCATTTCTATTGTCAGGCCTTGAGCTGATGGGTGCTTCCACTGTGGAAGTGGTTTAGAATGTATACAGTGCTCCATCAATCGTAAGCCCTGCAATCAACTTAATCAAGTGCTGCCAACGGCATGGTCAACAGTGTGTAGCCTACATGAGTGAATATGAGTCTCTCTGAGCAGGTGGCACCTTGTGTGGCTGCTATTGCCTCGCTCTATGAATGTGTGTTAATGGGTGAATACGCTTTGAGGGATCACAAAGACTGCAGGAGAGCTATATAAAATGCAATTCATGCTGTAAATGTATACAAGAGGTGGATGTAATGTCTAAACAAATCACATGAGACTGTATGAGACTTAGAGAGAAGGGGGGAGCAATAACCCATCATCAAGTCTTTAGCTGGTGTGTACTAGACCAAGCGTCACCTTAAATCATTAGAACATTTTTCATAATGATATGTGGCTCCCAGCCAAACCTGACCTGAATCAATAATCTGTCATCTCAGAGCGGAGGCTGTACGGCAGCATGCCTGTCACTCTGCCGCTGTGCTGCTCCTCCCGTTGGATTTATTTATAACACAACAGTATTTTTACGCTGCACAGCCTTTAAAGGACTGAGCTTCTTCTTTTCAGTCTTTCATCTTGCACGTGCGACACAGAAAATGAGAGCACATCTTTCTGTGAGCAGGAACAGCCCGAAACACCACAGCTCTGAGGTAGCTACTCTTCTCCTCTTCTCTCTTCTCTCCTCTTGAATCTATACTCCCTTCTCCTCTTCTATCTTCTCTCTCTTCTCCCGTCTTCCCTCTCATCTCCTCTGCTCTCCCGCTCTCCGATGTCCTGTCCCCAGCTCTAATATGACGTTTGTGCTGACGCACAGGCAGTGCTGCTGAATAGAGGAGTGTAATTATGGAGCCCTGCCTGTGTCTGAACCAATCTGGTGGATGTCTGCCTCAGAAACCGGGTTGTACGCATTCTGCACGGCACCGTGTGGGTGTACCAATTAAAAAATGGTTTCATCAAAAGAATATTCTAATTCCTCTCTGTTGCTTTTGATAATTTGACAGAGGTTGTAACCTGTGTTCAACTTCTTTGACACCGTAAACATGCAATCACCATCTCAATCAATGAGTTTTACTCAACACTGAGCATATTAGTATGCCACGCATATTAAGCTTCCTATTCAAATTGTAAAGCATATTTGATGTGTTAACTGAAAAAGACAAATCACCACTTTCCAATTGAACACTGCCTCCAACTGATAAGAATCAACCTTGTTAAAGGCGTCTCTGAAAAAGGGAACAACATTTTGGGGTTTTAATTTTTAACTAAATTAAAAGAAAAAGTTGTTCAAAGCAGCTCCAGCTCCAGGAATTGTTCATAGATGATACTAAATAAAACACATCACAAATATTATCTGAAATGTGAATTAGTGTAACTACAAAATGAAAGGTTAAGAAATCTTATGTTAATAACTACTTTTTCTGTACTAAACTACTTAATATCTAAATGGTGTTCACAATCATCTATTGTGTCATCACATAGGTTTGCAATTTACAGTTTTTCTCGATTGCTAACACACTAAAATTATACATGAAGCACAATTATTTTAACTGACACTCAAAGAGCAAAACATCGGCTCAAATCTCCAAAACTCTAAACACGTTTTCAGCTTTTCACACAATTTGCAAATCAACATGGCACTTTTTGCCAACCACTGCACACGTTTCTCCACATAAGACACAGGAATCTGACATAAAGTCACGTGTTAGCAGGTTTAAAACACTGATATTCAAAATACCTCACACATGGACCAATGATCAAGAAACACGTTCCACCTGACCAAACACCTGATAGCATCATTGTTGGCTCATCAATCAGGATGTTAGCACCATAAAAAGACCACAGGTGAGTACTTTCTTACAGCAACAATGGAAGCCAACATGGAAGCAAGAGCAAGAGGAAGAGGTGGGGTGAGAGTGAGAGGAGGAGGAAGAGGTGGGGTGAGAGTGAGAGGAGGAAGAATGAGAGGTAGAGGTAGAGCTGGAGTTAGAGGACGTGGACAAAGAAGAAAACTCTCATGATATATCAGCGCTTATATCTGTTGTGTGAAAAGTATTTACTTCATTACTGTAATTGAATTGTTGGCATGTTGCATACTATAACTGTACAAAAATCCTGCACAATATACTGTGATAAACTCACTTTTATACAACACAGACACTGACCGTGACCGACAAACTAAACACTTTGTTGTTTATCTGAAGGACTGAGAAACAAAGAGGAGGAAGGCCAAGGGTTTTCAATGAGGCGCAGGAAGCAGCAGTTACAAACTGGGTTTTGGCAAACAATGCATCACACTTCCGATCCGAAGCATAGTAACTATGTGCTGAGATGCAGGATGTTGCATAATGTTATCTTTGAATAAAATGTGATTTCTTTCAACAACTCATTTGTATTTCTTCATTTACTGTATTTCTGTAAACTCAAGCAATCTTTCTCTGCAGAAACCTCTATGTATAGAGCATAGCCCATAACAGATGGAAGTGCTTTAGATTATGCTCAGCAGTGTGTAGCTGGGGGTCAAACAATCTAGTATTATGAATGAAGTGTGTTATATTTAGTGCAAAAGTTTGCATTTGGTAAGTGTTTATGTAGTTTTGAGTGCAGTTCTTAATTTAGCAGGAGAAATTAGGTGTTTTGCACTTTGGGTGTGTGGTTTTCAGTGTTGGGACTAACGCGTTACTGTAACGCAACTACCTTTTGCGGTAACTAATAACGTTACTAGTTACCTCTTCCCATTCAGTAACGCCGTTATAGTTACTATGATTTAAATGGGTGCGTTACTGCGTTACATTATGTGATCCAACTGAACCGAATCTCCCTGAGGATGTAATTTACAGGCCATGGAAAAGTGAAAGTGACCAGAGAGGAGTGATGATTGGTTAACGCGGGGTAACATTTCAGGGTAAGCCAATCAAAGACAGAGTTGGGCGGGTCTTGCCTTATGGGGAAAATACACAGACACACAAACACTTGCTAACACACACACATACACGGCAACGCCCACCACCAGCACACACACACACACACACACACACACACACACACACTATGGCAGATGCAAGTATCAGCGAGAGCAGCAGCGCATTTACAACTTGGAGATATAACCACTATTTTCAATTTGTGGGGATAAAAGACGCAACAAATATCACGGTCAAATGTAAACTGTGTGCAGGACAGAAAGCATTGTCCACATCGAATGACAGCAATGCCAATCTCCTGAAGCACCTAACTAATGTACATGTGGGGAGTTGTCTTTTCTCTTACGGTGCAACAGAACAACACAAAAACTTGTATTTGTATTATTATTTTTAAAGTAAAGTAACTTGTTACTAGTTACTTTTATAATGTAGTAACTAATAAAGTAACTAGTAACTACTTTTTTGAGAGCAGTAACTAAAACTATTACTAGTTACTTTTTAAAAGTAACTTGCCCAACACTGGTGTCCTTGGGCAAGACACTTCACCTGAACTTGCTCCTGTGGGTATTGTCCACAGTGACCATTGCATGTATAAAAAATATGTGTAATGTGTATTTGTAAAGCGCTTTGAGCATCTGGAAAAGCGCTATAATAAATGTAAGGAATTATTATTACTGGTGGTTTTGTGAATTGTGTTTAGTGTTCTGAGAAACTGAGCAATTTAAGAAAATATGTGTGTTAGCAATCGAGAAAAACTGTAATAATAATAACAGTTATAATAATTACATTACATTGCATTTAGCTGACGCTTTTATCCAAAGCGACTTACAATAAGTACATTCGACCAGGAAGACACAACCTTGAATAATAATACGTTTAATTTGTGCTCCCATAATCCTATTTTGTCGCATCACAATCACTTTTTGCATCACATTCACCTTTGATTGTAGGCTTACCTTTGTTTCATGATAATAATCTGCTGTTACCTGTACTTTAACGTTTTCCTCTAGATTAGAACGTTGTGTCTTTATGTGTTATTCCTTCAGGTTCATACAAGGTAAAGGCAAAATAACTAATCTTTTTCAAGTCTAAGGATAGAGGGTGTCGTTTTTCTC